CTCTCATGACTATGTTTTTCATCTCTAATTTATTTTCTTAAATTGTTGCACATTATCCTTGAGCTTATTATTGGATCATCGATTTTACATACTTGGTATTGAGTGTGTGATATTCGGTGATCGTTTAAATTGGGGTTTCGGGTATTCAAATCTTCAATAAGTGGTATCAGAGCATTAGGTTTTGTGCAATATATTTTGGAAAATGGCGAGTAATTGGTTTGCGGTGGAGAAATTTGATGGACAAAATGATTTTGAGATATGGAAAATTCAAGTTCATGATCTTTTGGTCGAACAAGGGTTATACAAAACATTACTCGGAAAGGAAAAGAAACCAGAGTCTATGAGTAATGAGGATTGGGAGGAAATGGACCTTAAGGCTATGGCTACAATTCGATTGTGCTTAGCAAATAAGATTTTATTCAATATAGTGGGAGAGAAGACAGCAAAAGGCTTGTGGGATAAATTGGAAAGTGTTTATCAAAACAAATCTCTTAAGAATCGTACTCTATTAAAGAGAAAATTGTTAGGATGAAAGAGGGGACAAAAGTTTCCGATCATTTGAAAACTTTCAATAACAGTATTTGTGAATTTGATAGTGTTGGTGAAAAAATGAAAGATGAGGACACGACGGTAAGTTTGTTATGTACTTCACCGGAATCTTATGATAATTTAGTGACAACATTAAGTTGCAATAAAGAAGATTCACTTGACTTAAGTACGGTGACTAGTACTTTGCTTGCCCATGAACTTTGAAAAGAGGCATCTATTGGAGAACCGGAATCGGAAGTACACTTTCCAAGGTGTCGTTCAAGTGAGAGACGTAATTCCTCTCGAAATTTTTCTAGATGTAAGTAGAAAGGTCGATCTAAGTCTAAAGGTCGAGAAAACAAGTTTGTTTGTTGGGGATGTGGTGAAGCGGGACATATGAAGTAAAATTGTACAAAAAGTAAAGGACAAAAGTTCTAAAAAGCAAAGGAAACCAATGAATCTAAAAATGAGATGAATCAAGTGAAAGAATCTACATCCAGTTTTAATGAAGAAGAGGTTTATGCCGTGGGTAGCAATCCTGAATTCCATCAAAATTGGATTTTGGATAGTGGTGCTACACATCATATGTGTCCACACAAGTCATGGTTTAGTACCATTGGATGGTGGTTCCGTGTTGATGGGAAATAATTCAAGTAGTAGAATTGTTGGGGTTGGCACGGTGCAATTAAGGATGTATGATGGAAGTATCCGTACAGTTGAGCATGTTCGACATGTACCGGACTTGAAGAAAAGTTTAATTTCTATTTCTTTATTGGATTCCCATGGCTATAAATTCACCGGGCAAAAGGGAGTTCTCAAAGAATTTAAGGGTACTCTTGTTGTGATCAAGGGTGTTAGAGTTGGGAACTTGTATAAGCTCTTGCAAACCTTCATTGTTGATGATGCGGCAAATTCGGCAGTGGAAAGTAATGATCTTCCACTACGCTTATGGCATAGGAAGTTAGGCCACTTGAGTGAAAAAGGTATGGAGATTTTGATGAAGAGGAAGCTAATTCCCACTATAAAATTTAGGGAATCCGAATTTTGTGAGCATTGTGTCTATGGGAAACAACATAGACGAATTTTCAAAGCCGAAAGCCATACAAGCAAGGGAATACTTGATTATGTTCACTCGGATTTATGGGGGCCCTCACCCATAATGTCATATGGTGGTGCATTATATTTTATTTCTTTTATAGATAACTTCTCAAGGAAAGTATGAGTGTTCACTCTTAAATCAAAGAGTGATGCATTTTTGGCCTTTAAGCATTTTAAGGCCGAAGTTGAAAAGAGTACGGGGCCCCACATCAAAATACTTCGCACCAACATTGGGAAGGAGTACAATTCCGATGAGTTTATAAAATTTTGTAAAGATGAAGGAATCAAGAGACATTTCACCTTCGTTTACACTCCACAACAAAATGGTGTCGCGGAGGATGAATCGCACATTGATGGAGCGAGCCAGAAGCATGTTGAGCAATGCCGAACTGAAACAAGAGCTATGGACCGAAGCCATGATGACGGCTTGTTATCTCATCAATCGATCACCTTCGACGGCTTTGTGGGAGAAAACATCACAAGAGGTATGGTCCGAAACTCCTTGTGATTATTTCGATTTAAAGATTTTTGGTTGTGATGCTTCTGTTTTAATTCCTAATTGTCAAATAAATAAGCTTGAACCAAAATCAAATAAATGCACTTTTGTTGGATATAGCAAAGGCGTGAAAGGATACCAGTTATGGGATCCAAGTGCTCGAAAGATAATTACAAGTCGAGATGTGCATTTTGATGAGTCATCCGTGTTGACAAGAGGTGTAGAAAATGAGATTAAAGAAAGGAAAGAATCTCATAATGACACCCAAGAAATTTATTTTCAACCTTATGTCCCATCATCTAATGAAGGTCATATGCCGGAAAAAGCACCCACAAGTATCAATGAAGAAGTCATTGATGAAGAAGAGCAAGTTGGTGAACCAAGTGATTCATCCACCCGAGCAGTTTAGGGACTATGTGGATCTTGAAGTACTATATGCTTTGGTTGTTATGAATGAAGAATCGAGCCCTTACCAAGAAGCTATGGAAGGGGATGATTCCATATCTTGAAAGAAGGTCATGAAAGATGAAATGTTGGCTCTTCGTAAGAACAAGACTTAGGATTTGGTAGAGTTGTCAAAGGGTAGAAAATCGGTTGGTTGCAAGTGGGTGTTCAAAATGAAGAAAGAGATTGATGAAAGTTTGGAAAGAAATAGGGCAAGGCTAGTTGCAAAAGGGTTTGCATAAAAGGAAGGTGTCGACTTTCTTGAAATATTTGTCCCGATTGTCAAATTAGACTCCATAAGGTTGGTGCTTGGGCTTGTTGCATTGCATGATTTGGAACTTGAACAAATGGATGTAAAAACGGCATTTTTACATGGTGAACTTGATGAAGAAGCGTACATACAACAACCGGAAGAATTTCTTACAAAGGGAAAAGAAAGGTTAGTATGCAAGTTGAAGAAATCCATATATGGACTCAAGCAAGCATCAAGACAATGGTACAAGACTTTTGACATGTTCATGATTGGTCTTGGATACCATAGGAGTGATTATGACCATTATGTTTATATGAAGTTTTTTTATGATGGTTCTTATTTAATTTTAGTCTTGTATGTTGATGATATACTTTTAGCATGCAAGGATAAGATTAGGATTGATGAGCTCAAGGCATCTTTAAGCAAGAGTTTTTAAATGAAAGATCTCGGGCCGACAAAACAAATACTTAGAATTGAAATCCAAAGAGATCGACGGAGTGGGACTTTGCCACTTTTATAAAAGAGTTTTGTGGAAAAGATGCTTGAAAAGTTTGGCATGAGCAAGGCAAGGCCGGTGAAGACTCCATTAGCTCCCCATTTTAAGTTGTATTTCAAGCAAATTCCGAAGACTGTGGATGAAAAAGAGAATATGGCTAAGGTGCCACATGCAAGTGTTGTGAGAAGCCTAATGTTTGCCATGGTGTGTACTAGACCGGACATAGCATATTCGGTTGGTGTCTTGAGTCGCTTTATGGCAAATCCCGAAAAAGCTCATTGGGAAGGTGCAAAATGGGTGCTTCGTTATTTGAGAGGCACGAGTGATTATGTCATGACGTTTAGCAAAGGCTCGAGGCAGATTCAAGGCTATGTTGATGCAAATTATGCCGGTGATCTTGATAGAGGAAGATCAACTACCGGCTATGTTTTCAAGTTTGAAAATTGGCCGATAAGTTGGATGTCTAAGCTTCAATCAACAGTGACATTGTCCACCACCGAGGCGGAATACATGACGGCAACCGAAGCAAGCAAAGAAGCGGTTTGCTAAGAATCTTGTTTATCACAAGAGGACGAAGCACATACTAGTTCAATACCATTATGTTCGACAAGTTGTTGAAGATGGTTTGGTTCGTTTGGTGAAAGTTTGAACCAAGGAAAATGTGGAGGATATGCTCACAAAGACGGTTCCAATAGAGAAGTTGGAATGGAGCCTAACTTCTCTAGGCTTCACGAAGAAGTAAAAAGGGGATTATCGGCAAGGCAAATAAGTAATTTACTATCAAGATGGAGATTGTTGAATGGTGATAGAAAAATCACATGATAAATGCTTTTGTCTTTTATCATTTGTTTGGGGGCTTTTTGGTCACTGTAATTAGGTGGCTTGAATAAAAACAAAAAACAAAGGGATTTTTTATGATACACGATTCTTCTTGTTCTTGAACTCGTCTCTCTCTCTCTCTTCTCT